GTCCGATAGGATGAGCAAAATCGAATGAATCTTCCGATAGAACATGGAAATATACACTACTACACGTGCGTGCGCGCTTGTGTGTGTGTGTGTGTGTTCTTCCTTCGGCTGCTTCTCTCGCTCTTCTTCCCCTTTTTCTTCCCGCTCCTTCTCCCAATGTTCCTCCTGCTCCCTTCTCCACTTCTTCTTACGCTCCTCCTCCTCCTCCTCCCACTGCTCTTTCCGCTCAACCAATCAATCAATTGGTTTATTGATTCATTCATTACTTAAAGAAGAAGAAAAAAAAATCCCTCTCATCCTGCCGCTGCTTTTCCTGCTCCTTTATCTTCCCGCTCATCCTCCCGCTCTTCCTCCTGCACCCATTTCTCCTCCCCCTCTTTCACTCCTTCTCCTGCTCCTCTTCCCTCTGCTTCTCTTGCTCTCTCCCACTACTACTCCCACTCCTCTCGCTCCTTCTCCCGCACCTCCTCTCGCTCTTTCTCCGCTCCTTCTTCCCCTCCTTTTCCCTCTCCCACTGCTCTTTCCGCTCAACCAATCAATCAATTGGTTTATTGATTCATTCATTGGTTGAAAGAAGAAGAAAAAAATAAATCGACAACACGCTGATCTTCATTTTTTTTCAATCGATCAATCAATCAATCAATCAATCAATCAATCAATTAATCAATCATCAATCAATCAATCAATCAATCAATTGGTTTATTGATTCATTCATTGGTTGAAAGAAGAACTTAAGAAAATGGACAACACGCTGATCTTCTTTTTTCTTCAATCGATCAATCAATCAATCAATCAATCAAATCAATCAATCAATCAATTAATCAATCAATCAATCAATCAATCAATCAAAGAATCAACCTGCTTCCGTGCGTCCGCCCGCTCGATTTTTTAAAACAGAAAACAGGAAACAAATCAATCATTCCTCCCGCTCCTCCACGTGGCATGTCTTACGGATATCTCAATCTTACGTTTTCCCGCCAATCTTACGTTTTCCCGCCTGTTTCTTCCTCCTCGCAGTCCTCGCCCTCCGCCTAATCGCGCCTTCTCCCCCCTTTCCCCGCTCATCCCCCCTTTCCACTCGCGCTTTCCCACTTTGCTTCTCTCGATCTCTTACCCCCAGTTCCCAATTGCACCTTCCCGAACTCCCCGCCTGATCCGCTTTGCGATTGTTTCTCTCTCCGTTGTTTGTCGCCACCTCGGTCGGTCAAACAGGATCAAGCGGGGAGTTCCGCTAGCGCGCTAGCGGGGGGGCCGTCCGCAAGAAGATTGCGGTAGGAATCCAAACTGTGTGAGCACGATCTACCGTAGATCGTGGTTCGGCGGGGATGAACAACCTTCTCCCACTTGATTGGGGGTAGGATCCTCGAACATTTTTCAGGGATTCGGGTGGGAGAAGAAGGGTTGTTCATCTCGACGTTGTGTGTGCGTCCCATGAACCCGTCGCCCGGTCGATTTTTCCAAACAGAAAACAGGAAACAAATCAATCACTCCTCCCCCCTCGTTCACGTGGCATGTTTTACGGATGTCTGGATCGACTTACAGTGGTAGTTGGATGCGCCACGTGGGATGTGTCATGCAAACAGAGAACAGGAAACAAATCAATCACTCCTCCCCCTCATCCACGTGGCATGTTTTACGGATGTCTAGATCGACTTAGTAGTTGGATGCGCCACGTGGAATGTGTCATGCAAACAGAAAACACAGGAAATAAATTAATCACTCCTCCCTCCCCCTCCACGTGGCATGTTTAACGGATGTGTGGATCGACTTACAGTAGTAGTTGGATGCGCCACGCGGTGTGTGACACATCGTTGAGCGTTGGCAGAGACGTGCCCATACAAAGAACGGCGATCAGCGAATGGCCCGTGCGCAAGAACAGACACGGAAAAATCGAAAAATCGTCTTCATTGTGAGATTAAACAAAAAAATGGAAAAAAACAAGTGGAAGAAAGTGCATGCATGAGTCATGGCAGACATGTGCAGTGACACAGACAAACACGTGGCAACAGACGACCACGTGGTAAGAGAGGAACATGCAGCAGTAAAGAGACACGTGGCAACAGTAACAAAAGAAGAAGACATGCAAAAGTCGGGAAAAAAAATACAAAATCACATGCGGAAAACAACAACGTACGGAAGCGAACTTTTCAAGATATCCGTGAAAATCGGAATAATACAGAGAAGGATTTTTTAATTTTTTTATTTTTTATTTAGAAGGATAATTAGCAAATGGCCCGTACGCAAGGACATACACAGAAAATTCGAGAAATCGCCTTTATTGTAAGATTAAAAAAAAAAAAAAAAAAAAAGGAATGGAAGAAGGTGCACGAGTCATGGCAGACATGTGTGACAACAGACGGACATGTATGGCAAAAGAGGAATACGCGGCGGCAAATAGACACGTCTCACGTCTCAACAGGAACAGAATAACATCCTGTGTATGTACATGCAGAAAACAAAACGCACCTTGAGTCGAACCGCCTTCGCAAGGATTTCCCTCGTCAGCCCCACGCCCGCTGCCGTTCTGCTTTTCCATTGTCGTTGTCGTCAATCAAGCTCTCCCTCTGTCTCTCTCTCTAAAAATTTCCTGCTGCTCTCTGCCTTTCGATCTCTCTCAGAATGTTTCTTTTTTCCCCGTTACTCTCACACCGGGTTTCTTTTTTCTCCGCTCTGCCTTTTTCTCTCTCGCAAGCGAAAACGATATACTCTGCTTCAATGTCGTCAACACCGTGCCCGTCGAGAGCGATCGCCTCTCTCTCTCTCTCTCTCTCGGGCGATCGCCTCTCTCTCTCTCTCTCTCTCTCTCTCTCTCTCTCTCTCTCTCTC